TCAGATGATAAATTTGGGATTTTTCATAATCATGAAACAAATATGCATATGATAGGTAAACATGAGATTCATATTAAACATAACAATATTATTTTAAATGAACAAACTTATAAAGGAACACAAGGATTATGGAGATTATTAACATATAATAAAAATATAGATTAAAAGATATTAATAGAAACAGAATCATTATATCATGATAATAATAAAAATACAAAAAAAGTAAAATCAAGTAAAAGGGATAAATACATGAATCTGATCCATCCTATTTGGAATAAAATTAGTGAAAATAAAAAATTAAAAACTTTGCATGAAGAATCTGGTTTAATAAATTATACAGAAAACCCAATTCAATATAAATACAATGATAATTTAAACAAATTGTTAAAAAGATTATATTTTATTGCTGTAGAAGAAGGAGCTGGTAATAATAATTTTCATAATGAAAAATTAAGTATTATAAATTTTGTAAGTAAAGAAATGGAAAAATTAGTTGATACACCCCATGGTATAGAATATCTCATTTATTTTTATTGCAAGTTTACCAAAGAAAGTGATCACTGGATCTGGACTTGTTAATAATTTCTTGAATAGTAAATTTATGCCTGAAATTCACTGGCCTGGTTATAATTATCTCGGACCGTTTACAAAATCTAAGAAACCAATAAACAAATTAGATGAAGCTGCAATGGAACATGATTTTTACTATGAAAAACATAAAGATACCAAATCTAGACATAAATCTGATTTAATTTTAGAAAATATTGCAAAAGATATATACAAAAATCCTGAAACATCTTTAGGTGAAAAAACAGCAGCTTTTGCAACTAGTAATACAATGAAAGTAAAAAGAAAATTAGGAATGGGTCTTTTTTAAATAAAAAAAAATTAATATTTTGTATAATAAATGAATCTTAATTTAAACGATGCACAATCGAAAAAAATTAAATCTGCGCATAATAAAAAAATATATGTAACAATTCAACTATAAAAAAACCGAATTGGAACAGGAAATCAAAAGTTTAATTTAACCGAAACACAAATAAAAAAATTAAACAAATCTAAGAAAAAAAATGATCGAGGATAGAATTGAAATATGAACAAATTAAACAAGGTGGATTTCTTCTACTTCTTTTCGCTGGAATAGGAGCTGCAAGTGCATTAGCTGGGGGAATAAGTTCGATTGGAAATACTATTATAGAAAGAAAACATAAGATAGCAGCGAAAAAGAACAAGAAAGACATAATAAAGAAATGGAAACAATTGTCAATAATGTTAAAACTCTACAAGTTGGATCTGGAATTAAAAAGAAGAAAATATATTGTAGTACTCCTGTGATAAAAAAAAGAAAATCAGTCCATTAACTAATTTCGATATCATGTAAGTAAGTAAAAAAATTTAAAAATTTTCGAGGATGTTTTATGAGAGATGAATTACCTATAGAAACTTTAACGAATGAATGTGGAATATTAAATTTAAATAATTCTGATCAAAAAGGATCACATTGGGTTGCATGGATAAAATATGAAAATTTAAAAATTTATTTTGATTCTTATGGTAATGCTAATCCACCAAAAGAATTAGTAAAAAAGTTAGGAGAAAATAATCTTAAAATAACATCTAGAAGATTTCAAGACTATAATGATCCGCCTATTTGTGGATATTTGTGTTCGGATTTTATTAAAAATTATAAAAAATATACCTAAATTATATATCTAAATCTTTTTTTAATCAGGTTTCTGATTAAAAAAAATATTCATATTTCTTTATTATAAAAAAAAACTTTTTTATTTTTTTTATCTTATATATAATAAATGGAAAGTATTTTTAATAAATATGACGATCACAATATAAAACATATGAAGCAACATCAGAAACAAATTTTAACATAGATGGTGGTATTATAACCTTTGAAATAGAAGTTTCTGATAGTTTTCTCATTATTAAACATGCAAAATATAATATTAGTGGAAAATACTTAAAAAATAACAATACTGAATATGAAGCTAATAGTAATGTTCAATTAGATGATAATTTTGTCGCATTTTTATTTTCACAAATTGAAGTAATAAAAAATGGAACATTATTAGATCAAGCATAATCAAAGTATGTGTTAGTTATTCTTTAGATGAAAATGGACCAACAATTAATTCTGGATTTCAATCAAGATTTACATGTGGGGGAAGATTTGAAGGTGTTTGGAATTTGTCTAATCTATGTTTAGGTTTTTTTTAAAGATATTAAATAATCAATTTTTAAAGGAGGAATTAAAATAAATTTTAAGAGAGCTACAGACGATGATGCATTATATAGATGGATTTCTTCACCTTCTGCAGCACTTGATGCTGGAAAAGTTATTATTGAGAATTTTGAGATTACAACCCCAACAGTAGAATATTAAGAAATTTATAAAATACAATTAATAAATGAATTAACAAAATTATCTCAAGGAAATAATTACAGGCTACATTTTAAATCTTGGCAATATATGGGCGAATCCAATTTAAGTGGAAAAACATTCAAGAGAAATATCGCAAGTATATATAGAAATATTCATAACCCATTATTTGCAATTGTAGTTTTCCAAACAAATGGACTAGAAAGACAAATAAAAAAAACTTCTCTATTTGATCATCGTAATGTGAAAAATATTTGGTAAGAAAGTGATGGGCAGAGATACCCACAAGAATATCCACATTAAATTTAAATTGGAAAAATGGGAAATTTTAATTTGCATATGATATGTATATGTCATATAAGAAAACATTCCATAAAACACATCAAGAACTTCCTCTGGTATATCTAACCCTATTTAATTTAAAAAAGCAAGACCAATGTATGTATTAAATCTTACTAGACAACCTGATAATGTTAGTGGAAATAGAAATAATATTATTTAAAACGTAGAATTTAATGAGGATGTACCAAATGGTACAATTTGCTATATTTGTTTAGTTTTAAGTTCTGAATTTACATATGATATCGTGCAAAACACAATTAGAAAAAACATCTAAAACTATAAAAATATTTTTTTAATAGAAATATTCTGTTAAGAAAGAAAAATGAATTTATGTTAATAAATAAGGGCAAAGAATTTTTAGAACCAATACACTGTCACAAATGCAAAAAGAAAACTAAATATTTTAAACCAATAAAGGTTCAAACAGCAAATGGTCTATGGAGAATTTCAACACAATATTTAAAATGTAAAACAAACAAAAGTAAATTTATTAAAACACCTTTAGGAAAAGAAACAATCTCAAAAATAAAATTTGAAAAATAACAGAACAATATAAACTAAATATTGCAAAAGAACTTCATAAACCAGTAAGATCTCGATTTCCAAAAAATAAAATAAAAACACATGGTATTGATGATTTGTGGGTTGCAGATTTAGTTTTAATGAGAAATTATGGTGATGAAAATTCAGGTTATCTATATATGTTGAATGTTGTAGATACTTTTTCAAAATTTGCTTGGTCTGAATCTCTTAAAAAGAAAGATGGGGAAAATGTTACAAAATCTTTTGAAGAAATAATAAATAGAGCTAAATTACAGGAACACAATTCTCCAACATTACTTCACACTGATAAAGAAACAGAATTTGTAAATACACAGTTTAAGGAAATGTCAACAAAAAAAATATAAAATTATATCATACATGAAACGAAAAGAAATCTGTAATTATTGAACGTTTCAACAGAATTTTAAATGGAGAATACAGTTTTAGTTCAAAAAAATAAAAGATTGATTGATATTTTACAAGATTTATTGAACGAATATAATTTCAACAATATTTATCGTAGAATTGGAATGATACCATTTGAAGTAAACAAATCTAATGAAGAAAAAGTTTTAATTACATTTTTCCCTGATGAAATATCTAAATCAAAAATTAAATTTAAGGTTAATGATAGGGTTTGAATAAAGAAGTTCAGAAAAGCGTTTGATAACAAATATAACTCTAATTGGACAAGAAAAATGTTTATTGTTACAGAAGTATTGAATACAAATCCAATTACTTATAAAATTAAAGACTTACATAATGAAATTATTGAAGGAAATTTCTATAAACAAGAATTACAAAAAACCAAATTTTGAAATTTAAATATTGTAACACCTAACAATAATTAAACTGTATATTTTAAACAAGATTGTCTTATTTAAAAATTGAATTTGAAAAAAGGAATTGAAATTGAAAATTGAACATTAGTTAAAAAAATATAACTTATAATAAAATGGAAGAAAATAATAATGTTGTAGCAACTTTAAGGAAATTCTGTAATATATGCAATATAACAACTACTTATAAAAATTGGTCTAGACATTTAAGATCATCAATACATCAAAGAAATGATCCAAATGTAACTATTGAACCTAGATTTCAAAAAAAAAATGTACAGGGAATTGTAAATAGAATCTCAAAACTTGGAAAAGAGAGAACAGTATAACCTCAGAGTTTACTGCAAATTTTCTAAAAATATTATTGAAAATAAACCAACTAGAATAATTTATCGTAGCAGAACATATTTTGAAGATAAGATTCCAGCACAAAATGTTTTTGCGAAATTGAATGATAGTTTATTTGAGAAAGGAAGACCTTCTACTTTAAAAATAGTTGATATTACTAGTGAAAGTCAATTTGCTTTTAAAAAAAGAATATTATCGTTTAATGTTGAAAATAAATGTCAATTTAAAGATATAAATCAATTTTTGAATTATTCAAAAGAGTTTGTTAAGAAAAAAATATTAGAATATTTAAAAGAAAAATGTAATTTTAAAATAAGTATTATAGTAAATTGTAAATACCACAAGAAAAAATATCAGATATGGTATTTTATGTGGGTTTTAGAACTGAAATTGAACTTTATTTTTATAACAATGTGAAAGAAACAATACAATCTCAGACGATGTATTTTTGGCTAAGGATTCTGATTGGATATTTAACTAGGTTATAAATATGTATAGTTATAAATCACTTAAATGAGTATCATTTTATATATTAAATTACCAAAAAAGATATCTGATAAAAAAAGCTATTATAAAGCTAATATTGAAAATAAAGATGATAAATGTTTTCATTGATCAATTCTTGCTGCTTTACATCCAGTGACAAAAGATGCAAACAGGGTTAATAAATATAATAAATAGGAAAATTAATTCGATGAAGTATTTAAAAGTTTAAAAATTGAATTTCCTGTTAATTAAAAGATATTTATAAATTTGAAAGAAAAACGAAAATGTCTATTAATGTGTTCACTTATGAAGGTCAGAATATAGTACCTTTACAAATATGTTATATTCCAAAAGAAACACATATTAACTTATTTATCTTAGACATAAAAAGAAAAAACATTATTGTTTGATTAGAAACTTAACAAAATTAGTTGGTTTACAAATAACAAAATATAAGACTGCAATATATTTATGTAAAATGTGTTTATCTCATTTTTATATTGAGAAAAGTCTTAAAGACCTTGAGGAATATTGCAGAAATAATAAATGTGCTAAAACAATATTACCAATGTATCCTGAACATATTCTTCAATTTGAAAATATAATCAATCTTATAAAGTTACATTTGTTGTTTATGCTGGTTTTGAAAGCATGCTTCTTAAACTTGATACATGTCAATCTTGTGATACAGCTTCTTATATAAAAACATATCAAAACCATTTAGCTATTAGTTTTTATTATAATGTTATAGACACTTGGTCACACGATGATGATGATAACAGTGATCCAGTATTATATGCTGCATAGGTTTTTTATAATAAAATATAAGAAGAAGCTTCTCATATGGCCAGAAATTATTTATATGTAAAAGAAACCATGATAATAACTGAAGAACAAGAGACTGAATTTAACAAAGAAAATAACTGTCATATACAAAAATATCTTTGATGGATTTAGCACCAACATTAGTGAATAAAAAGAGAATACTTAATGAAACTATTGAATATTTTGATTTCAAAAAGTCTGATGCTATTAAAAAAAAAACTAGAAGTTGATGTGCAAACACAAATTAAAGAAATTAAAAAGGAAATTAAAACATTTGAAGATGAAATTCAGTAATATGAAAAGGAAGTTGAGAAATATAAGAAAGAAAGAAAAGTGTTCTTTAAAAATTTTAAAGTCTTGAAAATAATATGAGAAAAGTTAAAGATCACGATCACTTAAGAGTAAAATATCGAGGAGCAGCTCATTCTATATGTAATATAAATTATAAGGTTCCTAGATTTATTCCAGTATTTTTTCACAATGTATCTGGTTATGACGCGCATTTATTCATAAAAGAATTTGGTATTGATAAAGATAATTATAATAAAAACAATTGCAAATAGTGAAGAAAATTATATATCATTTTTAAAAATTGTACGATATGAGATATTAGATTCAGAAACTGAAGACCCTGTTTTAGATGATAGAGGAAAACTTAGTTTTAAAACAATTGAAACACGATTTCTTGATTCATTTAAGTTCTTATCTAGTTCTTTAGAAAAATTAGCTAATACTTTAAAACCAAACTAGTTTAATGAATTATCTAAACATTATCCTGAGTAATTGGATTAAGTAAAGTGAAAATTGGCGTATCCTTATGAATATATGAATTCTCGTGAAAACTATGATGAAGAATCTCTATCTTCTATAGATAAATTTTACAGCTCTCTTACAGGTGAACATGTAACACAAAAAACATATGAAAATGCTATAAAAAATATGGGAAACATTCAAAATAAAAAATATGATAGAGTTTACTGAACTTTATAATAAAATAGATGTATTATTACTTACAGATGTAATGGGAAATTATAGAGATGTTTAATTAAGACATAGATTTAAGTTGAATCCTGTTGGATCCTAGTTAGAATAATTCTGATTGGTTTGATACAGAAAAAATTTTAAGAATGAAAGATGACCAGGAAAAAGGCTATATTTTCGAAGTAGATTTGAAATATCGTGAAGAGCTTCACGATCTTCATTCTGATTATCCATTGGCTCCCGAAAATGTATTTGATAATAAAGAATTACCAAAATTAACAACAACTCTATATGATAAGAAAAAATATATCTTACATTATAATAATCTTATTCTTTATTTAAGTTTAGGTTTAAAATTGGAGAAAATACATAGGATAATAGAATTTGATTAAAAAGATTGGCTGAAACCATATATAGAATTCAACACAAATCTTCGGGCAAAAACAGATAATGAATTTGAAAAATATTATTATGAGTTAATGAACAACAGTGTATTTGGTAAAATTGTGATGAACACAAGAAACCATAAAGATATAAAATTAATTAATGACGAGGAAAAAATAAAAAAGTGGATTGCTAAACCAAATTTTGATCGAAAACTAGTAAGTAAAACTTACTACTTACAGCTACTAAAAACTTAGTAGCTGTACATATGAAAAAAACTATGGTTGAATTGAAACAACCATTAGGACATTTAGGAATGTGTATTTAGATATTTATCTAAAATTCGAATGTATGATTTGTATTATAACATATTGAAAAAAATATCAGATTATTATACACAGACACAGATTCTTTAATAGTAGAAATTTCAACTGACGATTTTTATACGGATATAAAAAACAATAAACAACTTTTAAATGAATTTGATTTTTCAGATTATCCTAAGAATAATAAATATGGAATACCACAAATAAATAAAATTTCCAGGTAAATTTAAAGATGAGCTTAATGGTCAAATAATGACTGAATTTGTTGAATTAAAATCTAAGCTATATACATTTAAAGTATTTGAAAATGAAAATGAAATTAAAAACGCGAAAGTTGTAAAAAAAAACCCATAGTTAAAAATGAATTATGTTTTAATGATATTTATAATTGTTTAAAAAATAAAAATCCAAAATATGTAAAACAGAACACTTTTAGAACATAGAAACATGAAATATATACTGTTGAGCAAAAAAAAAAGCTCTTAGTGCATACAATAATAAAAGTTATATTCTAGAAAATGGTATAAATACTTTAGCTTGGGGACATTATTCAATAAAAATAGAAAGAGAACATTTCAGAGAATAAATTTTATTTTAATTAAATAAAATAATTTAATAAAAACAAATAGTTAAAAAGAATGATAATTTTAATATAAATTATTTTTGAGAAATAATCTATTTCATGCGTGATGCGTTATATATTATATTATTTATTTTTGTTAAAGTGAACTGTTCCTTGTGCAATGTTTATGTAACGTTTGTTTTTATTATTATTATTAAATATTTTTTAATTTTTTTTTTTTAATATTATTTTTATTTTATGCATATGAACAAAGAATAAATAAAAACAATGTATATAGAGATCAGAAATTATTTTTTAAAATGAGAATTAAGAAATTGCGCCATAACCGGCATATTTACACTACTAATATTAAAAACCCAATTTTATCAATATAGCGTTTGTCCTGATAATCACAGAATCCACTATATAATGTTTCAGACGATGAACCAACAGCTCAGGGAACAAAACATACACATTGAAGTGATGGAATGGTTGAATGTGCATTACGTGGCAGGAAAGCGTCTATTTCAGTTGGTTTTAGCGTTGGACAATCTCGACACTTCACCACTAGCCCGGGAGACCCTCCCTATATTCATTCGGGATAGCCCCCCTGTTTTCATTCAGGAAATATTGCCTGTACTCACTGGAGAAGCCGCCCATGATTCCATCTTGGAACAGGACTATAATTCCATCCTGGAAACCGCCCGTGAATTCCATCGACAAGCAGTTCAAGAAGTAACTTGGAATACACTTTCAACTCACCAACAACGGCTAGCCATCCGGGAATTCACCCGGATTAGTGTTATTAATGACCTACACCGGGAAGACGCCCAATTTAACCTAAACGGGCAATCAAGGATAAATCATAATAGAAACCGTATGCGGACACTGATGAGAAACTCAACTCCTACCAGGGACACAAATAACGTTAGTTGTGGGCTTCCGACACGGGCTAGAGGCGGACCCTTTTATTGTGTTCCACGCGTTGTAACATCTAGTACTGAGGATTTACAAGATAATACCGTGAGTGGCGTTCATTATGACCCACCGAGATCAGGCAGAGTCTGGTCTCGGCATATTAGGTGCTTTCGGTGCCAGATGTATGGCCACATTTCAACGAACTGCCAGGGACTGGATCGTCGCTCAGTGTGCAGAAGATGCTTGCTGGAGGGTCACAGCGAAGGGCAATGTAGTACAGTAGTACAACCCCTCGCTCCATGTAAAAATGAGGCAAATGATAATGGAAAATGTAGTAAATAATCATTATGAAGAAATTTACTGTAGAATCTTCTTTTCTACCCAATTTTATCATAGAAACTCAAAGTAGGATTCAAAAAAGTAAATTTTGAATTAACCATTCGAAGCTTTTTTTCATAACTTGGCTAAAATAAATAAATTTCAAGAATCACTTAAATTACTTAATTATTTAAATACATATTCATTGTTGTATATTTTTAGCTAGCTAAGGTTGGGCTTAGAACACCTTACCCCTGTGTACGTCACTTAATATATATTTTTATTTAAATCTGTGTCACGGTGTGATATCCTCCACCCGCATTGCCTTCATCATTAGAAATAAATTTTAGGAATTATTGACCTGACTCTCAGGTCAATGTAATTATAAAGATTATTATGTAATTACATTTTTTATTTAAATACTAAAATTATTTATTATACTTTTATTATCTATTGTTATTATTTACGCATTTCAGCTTTTTTAGAATATAGTCATATAAATATTAAAATAATTATAAATCCAATAATCTTATACAATATAAATTCGATCCAGAACCATATTGCTAAACTTTTTGAACAGTTAGTCTTCAAATGTATATTGCCTTCGGTTAACTCAGTTTTAATGGATGAACAATACGGTTTTAGACTCCGGCGGTCTGCTACCTCAAATTTGATTGTGTTTAATAACTTTGTTTTGGATGCAGTTGAGCAGGGCTCACAGGTTGATGTTAGCTTTACTGATTTCACCAAAGCATTTGACCGTGTAGATCACTCAGTCCTCATAAAAACACTTTCTAGAACTGGTTTTGGCGAACCAATACTTTCATGGATTAAATTCTATCTGTCTGATAGAATACAATGGGTGAAAATGTATGACAAGAAATCGACTGTAACTCGTGTACCTTCTGGTGTCCCTCAGGGAGGGCATTTATCGCCTTTACTTTTTTCCATACTCATAAATGGTATAAAATCAGCTATCCCCGATAGTAAATTTCTAATGTTTGCTGATGATTTAAAAATTTTTCGGAGAATTAACTCGTTTGCTGACAGTTTAACTCTTCAAGATGAGTTGAATACTCTAGTTTTGTGGTATANCCATGTCTTTCTCAAGGAGTAGTTCACCAATAGTAAGTACGTATTCAATAAATGGTGCAAGTATTGATATGGTCACAACGAAAAAAGATCTGGGTGTAATTTTCTGTTCAGACCTTAATTTTCACACTCATATAGAGTCAGTCTACTGTAGAGCGTTTAAGACTCTTGGCTTTGTTATTCGAACGTCAAAGAATTTTATGTTGACTACTTCACTCAAAACGTTGTATTGTTCCCTGGTGCGTTCCTTGCTGGAATATGCATCCATTCTGTGGGACCTGTATACGGCAACTGATTCCTCACGTATAGAGCAAGTCCAGAGGCGCTTCTTATCATCTGCCGCCAATATTTTAAAAATTGAGCATACAAAGCATGACTACCTTCCCGTTTCTAATATGCTTGGACTGAATTCTTTGGTAGATAGACGTGTGACAGCGAATTTAGTATTTCTGAGCAAATTAATTCATGGTCATATTGATGCTCCCTCTTTAATCTCCCNCGAATGATGCTTTTGGCAAATGAACACCCAACCTTATTTAGCCTATAGGCTATAAGTATATTATCTTTTTATGTGTTTTGTTAATTATTAAACACTTTATGTTCTCTAAATTTTTGCAAATTTTATGTTATGTTAACTGTTAATTTTCTTACTTTCTGTTTCTTAATTTAATCTCAATTATATGTAACTGTAATCACACCTTTGGGCCGTGTGCCCATAAATAAATATAAAATATAAATATAAATATTATGCATTAGATATTAAATAGGTTAAGTAATAAAAGTAATAAATAATAATCAAGTTATAAAACTTATAGAAGATCAAAGAGAATGTTTAGAATTTTTACTTATAGTAGAGGTATACAAAAAAAACCTATTATTCAATTTTAATACTTTATCTTTTATATTTATTAAATTTTTGTGTATGTTCAATCTTTATATGTATGTAGTTAACTAACTTAGATTAACTAAATTTACTGTTTACAAATTCGTGTTTGAACAATATTGTAATTTTTTCTATTTAAGAGTTATCATCACTGATCAATAACCATTATTACTAAGTTTTTTATGCATTTGCATATTTTTTTATTTCGTTTAAATGAATTTGATAAAGCTGTTGATAAATTATATAAATGATTTGATTTATATCTTATAAAATCCTAATTGTGCCCATATATTTAACAAAATATAGTTAATCATATAACTATTTAAAGTTTTTGAAAATGTCTTTGAAAAATTAATATAAAATCATTTAAATTTATTATACTATTATTTGAAAAATTTTAGTGATAATGCCAAATTGAGAAGTTTTTTAAAGTATTTTCTATTATATTATATTATTATTTTTCATCAAAGTTTACCCCATATTGTTGTAACAAAACTTATTCTGGTGTGAAATACTGGATTTATAAAAATAACTAAATAAGTCAGAAAAAAAAAATTAATAATAATAATTTAAAAGTAATATCTAAACAACCATATACAATATACATTATATGGTGTTTGTTTTTTTAATAAAAAAAAATATTTTACTATTTTTTATTGCATATAAATCTTAGCCCTTGTAATATATATTGTATATACATACAGTAAATGTATTAAATTATGATAAAAAGTATTATGTGTGATGTCGTATCTAAACTTTACTGTTGTATGTGTTATATAATATGATAATAAAATTTTTTCCAAGCTTTAAAGTTGTTGAACTAACTTTCGATTTTAAATATCCTATGCATAACGTTTCATAATATAATGGTGAAATTTATCACAACAGTGAAAAATGCACATGTTAAATTTAAAAAAAACGTTTAATAAATTAAAGAAATATATCTCTGTACAGTATAAATCGTTAGGTACTGCGAATGGCAACTTTACACAGTGAACTCACTCCAAATTATTAATGTTGCTCCACTAAAAAACGCAATTTAATTCATATGCCATCATACTATACAAAATGTTATCACAGGCTGACTATATACACGACGATAATTAAAATAAGGTACGTAGATAGTTAATAATAATAATATGGAAACATATTATTTAATTTTACTTAATTATTATTTCAGTAAATCCAACGACCTATAGAAATTGCAGTATAAAATTACTTACCTGTAATCGTCAACCCGAAGTCTTGAGAGACGAGTCGAATAATTATGAAGGCATAAGAAGCTGCACGGAACAGACACAACTATCGTCTAGTGGTAAGTTTTAAAGTAAATTATCACTTTAACTTTATTAATGCATAAACTGGTGTCATAATATAATATTTCTTATTCCCATATATCTTGTTTTGTATTTTTTATTGATCAACGATTGTCTAGATCTGTTAACAAAACATGGTTAAAATATTAATGCGAGTATTAAACAAATATAGACTGTTGATGTCTTGACAGAGAATTATGTATACTTCAATCGGAAGATTTCATAGTTTGAGGTATACTTTGATGATATGATTTAAAACTAACTCCTTTTTATAATTCAATTTATGTAAAATAATTTAAGTGTTATGAAATATATTGCCAATATACAACAGGTGGTTTTTTTGTTGTGTCAAGTTTGAGATTCTGTAGTGGAATATTCCAAATAGAATAATATAACGTTGTTATTTTAAATATGTATTTTGATTATAATTGGAAATCATAATTAAAATTTTTAATACGACGAACTTCGTTTATGTTTCTAAAAAGTATAGGTAGGTAACTATAAATTTATCTGTGAGCCTAAAGACAACGTAAATTGGTACCTATAATACGTATTCATTGCTCGACAATTTATTCTTTTTATTTTGTGTTTCTCATTATGGAAACAATAATAATAAAGGTAACAATAATAACTATATTATAGGTGAATACGTAATTTTTAATTTTTTTTTAAAGGATTTAATAATCTCTATCAAGTACGCAATTAACAAGGAGAAAAATGTACCTATGTTTTATATTAACAATATAATATGTATTTACAACTCACACGTGGTGAAGAACTATCAATTTTTAGCACTTAACATACATATACGTGATTAAAATGTTTTTGTTGTACTAATTGAAAACAATTTCATTCATAATGACAAAAAATCCTTTTAGATTATTTATTCATAGATTTATTTATATAATTCATACAGACACAGGGTCTAATTATAATAAAAATTGTTTATCTTATTATACACAGTTAAGAACTAAATGCATAAAAACTATTAACAAAAGGATCAATATTGTACCTATTATTTATACTCATTAAACAATGAATTGGTGCATTTGATACTAATTAGTTACTTGCTAAAGACAAATAAAACAAATTGACATTTCTTAAATTAATTTTAGGAATCTTAAAACAAATCATAAATAATAATTCAGGACATTCAATTAAATTATTAAGTAATTTATATAAGAAAAATAAATGTATTTTTCCTTCTTATTACTAAAATATTTAAATTTAATATACTGAGTAATGGCTCATGAGATGTGTGTGCCTCTCTATATATATTACAATTAATAGAAACAAGTCTTAAAAATCGGTCTTGGACAGCTTCTAGTTCTTTAATTAAAACTATTTTATGTGGTGTATCTGATTACCCATTACAAATTACATCCCAGAATAATAAATTTATTTATTATGATCACAGTGGTTTTATAATTGTAAGAAAAAAGCTAGTTTATTTTTTTAATTTTAAAGACATAGTTTTAAATAAAACTATTCTCAATGTTCATTGTCATAATAATTTAAAATAATTTAACTCTAATTTTTAATTCCTATTATTGATTTTTACGTTTTAATTTGATTGAGTTTGATGAGTTTTCCAATTCTTAGTGTAGTTATAGAACGAAAAAGATGGTCTAGGATAATAGGATGCAGCCACTGTTATAATTTTATAATTAATTTAATGTATACTTGTAAGCAACAATAAACCCAGTGGTGTATTAGGGAGTATATGGGGGTATACGGCGTATATCCAATACGCTATTTTTATTCATGGTGTATAGCTTATGACAAATTGATAATACGTGGGTATATGGCCGTATCTACCGTATATCCTATATGGTAATTATAAATACCCATTATATATTTATATAAATATTAGATGATTAGATCTCCATATATCACTATATATCTACACGAATAAGGCCTAAGGTATACCTATGGTTTATTTTAATAATACATCACTAGATAAACCATTGCTAACGAGAAAACGATTCTGAGCGGAGTTTAGTTGATAGTGATGCTTTGTCAACAATAAATATTTCATATTATGGTAAAATAATTAAATAGGCATTATGTATATATTTTCTTCAATAATATTTGTTTAATGTACCAATTTTTCCGTTTTTCTTATGTTTTTTTCGGGTTTTTCACATTTTCTGGGAAAATTAAAAAATGACGTCTCTATAGTACCTTCCAAGTCAAATTTATTTTTAGAAAAATTGCTATCATTATAAATTGGAGCAAAATTGCTGGTAGAAAAGTTGTCTAAAAGAAAAAAAAAGTTGAAATATTTTTAACTAATAGGTATCCACATTTCTTACATTTTCCCATTTTTTTTTTTTTGTTTTTTACATTTCTTAGAAAACTCCTGAGAAAATCGAAAAATTACCTCTTTAAAGTACCTACACAGTCAAATTTCTTTTAGAAAAATTGCTATCATAAATTGGAGCAAGATCTCTGGTAGAAAAGTTGTCCCCAGAAAAAAAAAAAATAAACTTCTTTGTAAAACCATAAGCTTCTTCCCTCCTCTTAAAATCTAAAAACAACAGTTCCTTACAATTTGTTCATATGTTATTTGTTTAATTTTTTTTTCAATTAGTAAGAAAATTATAAGAGAACATTGCCTGCTACCAGAAATCACTACTGATAAAGATGATCAAAGTAAAATTTCCGGTGTACAAGTTGTTTACAGACAGAAAGAAAACACACATCATATTAAAAGCAATATTTTCTTCGACACGCTTAGTCTAAAATATCTGAAAAAAAAATTAACATCATTTAAACCTCAAAAAATAAAGATGAATTATTAATAGAAAACTTACATTTTGATAT